TTCTGCACGAACACGGGCGCGTTGTCGTTGATGTCGTACACCTTGATGATGAATTTGGAGGGGCGCTCCAGGGACCTGTTGTTTGTCCTGTCGATGATGAGGGCTGTCAGCTCATACTCTGCCTTCTTCTCCCTGTCCAGCCTCTCGAAGGCGTACACGTCCCCGCTGGTCTCCTCCACCTTGAAGATGGTGTTGGCGTATTCCCCCTCGATGATGTACTTGGCGTTGTTGTTCCTCACGCTGGAAGTGATCTGGGAGGAAGGTGTAATTCAGGGAGATAGAGGTGGGGTCTGGCAGCTGGGTGCAGCAGTCTCTCCCGGAGGATTCACAGTCAGGAATTCCTCATCCCACTGGGAGCCCTCAGGACTTTTGCTGTCAGCTGGGGCAGCACTGAGCAGCACCACAGCAGCAGCTGGGCTTGTAGGATGACACTTGCACCCACACTGAAACTTGCTTGCTCATACAGAACAAAGCTTTTGTAAAATCATGCCTCCTATTTCCTAAAGGTATAAATTGTTCATGCAGCCAACACTTACAAATAATTAGCTGCATTATGTCTGAAATAACACGAGCCACTTTTCAGTTTGAGTTACCCTTGTTTGCAACTTTCTGGACCTACCAGGGGTTTTTGCTCAGTTTCAAAGGATTATAGGAGGAAATCTGTATTCACAGCTCCTGACACTATTCAGCATTAGCCTCTATTCCTTAGCATTTAGCAGAATTCCTGCCACAGCTTACAGCTTTCTGGTGCTCAGTCACATGAAATCCTTTAATAGGCAGTCTTCAGGCTCATGGTATGACAGGAAGGCTACATTTCCATCCCATAGATTTTAAAATTTAAGGTTATATGCAGTGAAAAAAGGAATGTGAGAAGAAGAATGAGCATTAATCAGTTAAAAAATATAATTTAATCCAATTCTAAATGTTTTGCACACTAGTTTATCTGCAGATAATATAACATTCCCTTTCTACACCCTCACACAAACAGGGTCACTGCTAGAAGGTTTAAACTGCAATTTTCCATGTACTACATCAGCATTCTTATTTCAGACAGCTAATTATCAAGGGTTGATGGGTTTGACCGAGTACTTCCAGCCTTTTGTTACTGATGTTATTAGAAATGTCACCTGTTGGGCGCTCAGGAGTTGATTTATCCTGTAGTTGTAATTTACCGTTGAGCATTGTTTAAATTTCGGTTTTCTCTTTTGAAATGTGTCATTAATATTTCCACCCCTCATTCCTTAATCATGCTTCTGGCAGCTGGGACTGCTGGGGAGCAGTTCACACCTCTGGAGGTGCCACATGAGAGATAACCCCACTCTCGCGTCAAAGATGGGACAGTCTGTGCCTTCCTTCTCAATTTTTGTGTACCTATTCAGTGTAAAAAGCACAAACCTCTCAGAATGCCTTTTCTGGTGCTGAGGACAAAAGGAAAGCACGGAGGTGGTGCAAGACAAAATCCAGATGTGTCACACACTCCTGCAGCTGTCGCTCAGGGGCTGCTGGGGCCTTTCTTTAAAGGGTTAATCAGGGGCTCCGTGCTGCAGAGGCAGCCACTGCAGGAGCCTTCAGGAGACTGAGCTGCTGGATCGCCCCAGAGCCGGACAGAGGGAATGGCTCTTGTTTGGGACAGCTCCAGGAACAGAAGCTGCTCCTCAGTCTGGGGCTGCGTTGGTCTGGAACGAGGCAGAGATGCCCCGTGGGAGCTGAGAGCACCCTGTGGACCTCTGTGGTGCTTTTTTGGCAGCCCAGAGCAACCAGCAAGGCCTGTTGGACTCTGCTGGGACAGCCCTGACAGATGTGAGTGCTGTACAGGGCAGGGAAACACTCAGCTGGATTCATCTGCAGTGCCACAGCGCATCCCTTTCAAACACTGGACTGGGAGAACTTTCCCTGGGCCACATGCAGCTGATGATAGGCTTTTGTGAGCACTGCCCTGAGGAAAATGAGTTTGCAAGCAGGTCAATGCTTGTTAGTATTTAAAAAAAATTCTTTGCTTTCGCTTTGTGCAACAATATTTTTTGATTGTGTAACAGTATTTCGAAATATAGCACTCGTGTTTTGAGTACAAGCTGAGAGATGTAAACTGTTGTTTTTTTATTTGCTGATTTTTATTTTTATTTGCTGATATCTGAGGTTTCTGAAAGAATCTTGTGCTGCCAGAAAAATCCTGACATGCACCAGTCACCAGACTTCCTCCCTAACCATGCACCTGCAGGCAATGCTCCTGGATTTGGAATCTCCAGACCTGCTATTCCCTTAAATTTATTTGTATTCTTCAAAGGAATTAAAATTCCTATGGCACTGCTCTTCATTTATTCTTTGCCCACATTTTGAAGATTTTAACATGTTAATAAGTAGGTATTAATTCCCCATATCTATTTCCTTTTCATTCCTCCTGCCTAGGCTGCAAACTATTTCAAGATCCTCATTTGCTATTTTCAGTCATAGCTGACAGGCTGCTGCTTACCTTGCCAACATGGTGTGGCAAAGGTGTATCAATCTCTTCTTTGATGTGCATTTGGTTCCATATCCAGTCTCTCTTCTGGCGTTTGTGGCTGACATCATTTGAACAAAGGTTTTGGGTTGATTTCTGACTTCCTTGGTCAGCAAATGCTGGGACCAGGAACAAGGAGAAAAGTAGAATAAGGTGGCTCATCTTCTTCTGTGGCCTAGAAAGGATATAGAAATGCAAAAATATAAATAACTACAGAATCAGATTCAGCAGAGGGAGCACAGATGGAAGTGCAAATGGACATTCCTTCTGTAGGGAAGTTTGATCACTTTGTTTCTGTTCATTTGCCTCAGCATCAAAATTTGAAGGCTTCTTCCTTCTGTGAAAGAATTTTAGCTGGATGAAAACTGTAGAAAACAACACAAAGTATTTCAATTAAATGAAAAATGAGCTTTGAATGCTGGTGTAAGAGCCAGCATCCCCTTGAGTGACGGTCACTGCTCTGAGGAGCACCTTCAGAGCCGAGGTCTCCGTGTGCCCAGGCCCAGGGCAGCCTGGCACCACGGCTGAGCTCGAGTTAACTCCACTGCAAATGGAGTGTTCAGGCCAGACAAACCCAAATGCAGTGTTTTGACATGCTCTGACACAAAATATGCTGTAGTCAATGTCTTCCTATGGAAAAGATCGATTTAGAATAAAATCTGGTGGTTTTTTAGGTGGAAAACATTACTAGTGTGAAATTTTCAATCAATTCCAAGTACAATACAGCAAATTATCTTTCTTTAAGGGCTCATCTATTGATGCAATTCCTTGTCTTCTGAAGCTTTTAGAGACTCCCATAAAGTTCCTTTATCCCCTACTTCCAGACTTTAACATCTACAAAATGATAATTTGTGAAATGATTTTCAGGTGAAACCATATTTTTGCATCCTGTGTTAATATTAGCAAACTTTAGGCCCGACTTTCTTATCAGAGGAGTTATTTTAATGTTATCAAAGCTGATTCATTTTCTTCCTAAATTTCCCATTCCCGATATAAAGGACTGTCAGGGAACTTTAACACTCAAGTAATCAGACTTTAAATTGCACATAAATGACTTTCCATTAGCTTTTAGAAGCTGTCAGCATGCATATCAAAAATAAACCTGCTAATTGTGATGAGAAGTTGACATCACACAGGCTGCTGGATGCAAGATTAAATTAATATTTTCATCAGGAAGGTGCTGAGACGTTTCCAAAATTACTCTTTGGTAACCAGGCAATCAGTGTTATCCCATGGTGCAGCATCAGTGTCAGTAAAAAAGATTTTATTTACCATGAAATGTTGCTTTGCTGTACTTTTCTCTCTCTCACATTGTTGTACATAACCTGAGGAATGTTCCTCCTTTGTGGCTGGGTAGGAAGTGAATAAGGTGCCTTTGAATGTGCTTTTTGATAGATAAGCTGTGTTTGATACAGTTTTCTAGATTCAAACAAAGGTTTTTGATTTAGCTAGTTTTTTTTATTCTGTGCCCTTAGCTTGCCTTTGAATATTTTTAGAAAAATGAGTATAATTTAGTTGTTTTTCTATACTTTATTTGTGTAGATGAACATTTTACAACTGGAAACTGGAAGGCAGCAATATGATTCTGCTGTGATTGCCTAACTCTGACTTTTATCCATACAACTACAAAACACCAAAATAACCAAAGGAAGCCACTGGACAATGCCAACTAGCACAGACTGTGGTTTTGCCAAAGAGCAGACTGAAGTGTTCAAAGAGCCTTTTTCTCTGGTTCTTGTGCAGAGTGGAGCTCTCCTGTAGTGCTGAGCTGCTGCCTGGTTTTAAAACAGAAAGTGCTGACTGAATCTATGTACATACATGTGCATTTCAGCTGACATTTAGATGCCTCTTTCCCTCAGCACGTCCATCTTTGTGTTTGTAGATTTTAAAGGGGCTTCAATTCCTTTAACTCCTGATCAATGGATTTCTTGTTCATATTTGTCCAACCTCCCTGGGAAGAGGAGGGTTCCTTTGGCAGTAGTTTGGAGGTCCTTGGCTGCCCTCTGGCACTGCAGCTCAAACACAGACTGAGGGGGGAGAACCCCTTGCAGAAATTCATCTCTGCTTCACCTTTGGCAACTTTCAAGCTGCTCATTTTTGGAAAATGACAGCGCACTCTGGAGCTCTTTCCTTGCTCTTCTCCAGGGACATGGGAGTGCCTTGCCCTGTAGGACAGGCTGACTCTGGGGACATTTTCCTCAGAGCAGCCTGACTCTGGGGACATTTTCCTCAGAGCAGGCTGACTCTGGGGACACTTTCCCCAGGGCAGGCTGACTCTGGGGACACTTTCCCCAGGGCAGGCTGACTCTGGGGACACTTTCCCCAGGGCAGGCTGACCCTGAGGACGCTTTCCTCAGGGCACCATGCTCGTTTTCCACGTGACAGCCTTTGCTGTTGTCACTGAAGGCCTCAGGATGTCCAGGAATGCCCTTCCCTGGCAGCACACACAGCAGGGCCCTGTGAGCAGTGCTGGCATGGGGCTCAGTCCTGGTGGGAAGGCACTTTCCCTGCGTGCCAGCTCCTGACAAGCTGTACTAAATGTTCTTTTCTGGCCATGGCAATTTCCTTCCCAGCAGCTCTCACCCAAAGTGCGAGGGGCAGCAGCAGAAGGGGACATTGCCATCCTGACTATTCCCACAGAATCAGGAGCAAGAACGTTTCTGAGGGATAACAGGTAGGATCAGCTTTTCCTTTTTATCCTCTAGGGATCAGCTTTTCCTTTCTTCTGTGTCTGCTGGGCAGGCAGGACTGAGGGGTGGGAATCAGGTGCATCCCTTCAAGCAAGGACCCCCCCTTTTCCAGCACGGTGGGAACGCAGCCACGAGTCCTGCCCTGCTCTGGCCTCACACAGCCCCTTGTCCCTCTGTCCCTGGCTGATCAGCCCAACAGCTCCAGCTTCTTTACTCTAATCACGGACCATACATGTTCCTGAAAGTTAGCGGGGAGTGGTTTATTCAAGCAGCTGAGTTTTTTGCTTTGCTCTTAAATTTTGTTCCAGCAAATGATGGGTTCTCCCACCCTTACTATTCATTTTATGTGTTGAATTATTTTAGCAAATAACTCTTGGTCTGCAGGGTACTATAGACAGTTAACTGAGAAATTCTGGTATTCAAAGTGATTTGTGTGACACATGACTCATATAGTGCAGTTTCTTCTTCCAGACTGGGAGTAATTATTTAAAAATGTCGGGCGGAGATACAGACAATACTGTACTAATTAAAAGTTTGCATTTTACAGGTTGTTTTGGCGAGTAATCAACTGTAAAGGTGATGAACAGCTGATATAAATACAGTCTCCAGGTAATGAAACCATTGGATGAAATATTCTTATGAACATTTTTGGTTTGCTTTTTTTTCCTGGTATTTGCCTCTCATCTAGTTTACTTCTAACTCTAAAAGTGTGTATATGTCCTTTTGCAAGATTAGTTTAGCTGGCAAAGAAATTTGTTCTATGCTTGTATGTTAAACAGAGGTCAAACCAGGCTACTGTACAGAGATTTTAGGACATGAGGGACAGTTGCCTCTGAAATTATTTATTTTCCTGGTCAATCATACTAAAACCTTATGCTTATCTTTGAGAATTTTTCAGCATCCAAAACCCCAAATGGATAATGGTAGAGTGGTGATAATGAACATCTTGAGAGAGAAATTTGCTAAAAGTGGCTGTCATACACAAGAAAACGAACACATTTTAAAAGGGTCATGTCCCTGTTGTTGAGATAATTTGCATAACTGATTGTGAGAAAGGCTGGAAGTGAAAGATTAGTTTCTCTTACTGGAATCTGAATGATTCCAGTAAGAATCGAAATGATTCATCTAAATGAAAATGAAAAACCCCATACAAAAAAAATAGTCTTTCTTGGAGCAAATAGCACTGAAAAATTATTTTTCAGATGGAAAAAATATACTCTGATACACTGTCTAAACATCTCCAAAATTGCTGTGCTCAATGAAACCATGGCACATACAGAGAGAAGAATCTGACCTGGTCTCAGGGAGCAGAACGCCTCTGAACAGCCTGGCCATACAGAACCCATTTTAACATTAATTTCTCATCTATAGGATGGGTAAGACCAAAAGTAAATGTGTGAATGCAGCAAGCCCTAAGGAACAGAAGGTTAACCAAACACAGGAGGGGATAAATTATATTTTCCTTTGCAGTGCTGTAGTTTTGTGAGCAGGCAGATTATTAAAAGAAAATAGCCTTAGCAATACTGAATGCAGCCTTTCAGGGGCCACAGAGGGCTGTGCAAACCTGGGCTGATAAAGCTCCTCGTGTCTCTGACAGCCCTGCAGGCAGATAAAAAACATTATCTGTTCCAAAAGGGGCACTGGAGCACAGAGGGCTGGGATGTGTCTGTGTGCCCTGGCAGGGACCAGGGCCAGGAGGGACAACGCTCTCAGGTGCTGCTGTCCCCGTACCTTGGCTCAGAACCGCTGCCCATGGCTGTGCCAGCTCGCAGGGGAGCAGCAGGAGGTGTCTCCACTGTGTCCCCAGGTGTGTCCCCAGGTGTGTCCCCAGGGGTGTCCTCAGGTGTGTGCCCAGCTGTGGCTGTTCCCTCAGAACTGGTCTCCACAGCTGTGTCCAGCTCCCAGAGGAGCAGCAGGAGGTGTCCCCACTGTGTCCCTGCTGTGTCCCCAAGGTCCCCTCTGTGTCCCCACTGTGTCCCCACTGTGTGTCCCTGCTGTGTCCCCAAGGTCCCCTCTGTGTCCCCACTGTGTCCCCACTGTGTCCCTGCTGTGTCCCCAAGGTCCCCTCTGTGTTCCCACTGTGTTGTTACCTCTGCTCCCGTTCCCTCCGTGCTCCTGCTGCTGCTGGGGCTCCCGTGGGACAGGAGCTGAGGGCACCCGGTGACAACAGGAACTGGGGACGTCCTGAGAACATCTGCCTAAGGAAATCATGCAATTTTGACTCAGAGGAATTTTTTTTTTTTTTTTTTTTTTTTTTTTTTTTTTTTTAATTTTATTTTCGGATGTAGCTTGTGGCAGGGCAGAACTCAATGTTTCTGTGTCTGTCACATGTCCCAGCAAGGCACAGCAGTGTTCTTTCCTGAGAACACTCTGCTGCTTGTTCCTTTCCAGGTTGTTGAGCTGATTTCAGCGGGCCTCGTGCCTCACTACCTGGGGCCGGAGTTTTGATTGTCCTTGTGTCGATTTTATGCATGTGAAAAGTGATTTCCACTGATGACTAAACAGTCTGGAGTGCAAATGCCTGCCTGGAACTGGTTCTAAAATGCCATTTCATATGCAGTGATGGTACTTTGAAGTAAATAGCCACTGTGATGACTAAACAATCTGGAGTGCAAATGCCTGCCTGAAAACTGATTGGAAAATGACATTTTCTGCTTGGGATAGTACCTTGGAATGAACAGACACTTGAGCAATATCTTAAGCAAACTGAGATTTAAAAATCTCAGTGTTGTGAGAGCACTCATGCAGCATTTGGTGCTGCTCAGTTCTTGTTGTCTTGGTTGCTGCAGCAGTGTATAAACACAGGTGAGGGCATAATTCAGCACTTCTCATTTGGGCTCCTCATATTTTCCTTCCAGGGAAAAGGAGAATTAATTCTAATCTGAAAACGCTTTGTGATTTGAGCTTCAAGCTTCTGGTAGGCATGGGGGAAATTTACTGATGATTTATTTTCCTGCCTGTTCACCTCACCTGAAAGTTTCTCCTGGATGATGCAAAATACAACTTCACTTCATGGGTGGATGGAGTCCTCAGCTAAGACAGATTTCTCTTTGGGAAATGAAGAAATTTGACTTTAAAAGACCTGTAAATGCTTGCATTGTCTACATTAAATATTTAGTGCCTTGGTGGAAAGCAGGCAGCCAAATTGTGCTCCAAGTCTTTCTGTTATTTCAGATACAGAACTGGGAAGAAAATGAGGGAGGCAAGACCTGGTTTGGTGGGTTTTTTCAATTTTTTCCCCTTATTTTTATCCTCCTTTTAAAATTTTTTTTCTTTTCTTTTTCTTTTCAAAGAAGCAAAGCCATTCTCCAAGTTAGTGAGCGACAGCCTGTGCCCTAAAGATGGGTGAGCAGCAACGATGGATCTACCCAGGACTCCTCCCAGGGATCCTGACAGCCCTGCTTGCATTTTAGTGAGTGACCTGCTGGTTCAAAGTGCTGCAGTGAATCCTGAGAGAAGGCAGAGTGAGAGCTGAAAACCAGAAATGTATGGTCCAGGAAGATTTTGGCTGTAAGCAGAAAGAGTGAGGGAGGAAGATCCCTTTTGTTTCTTGCTGATAAATCTGACTGAATTGAGAGGGTCCTGTCAGACAGGGAAGCCCAAAATCTCAAGGTGGAAGGATTTTTAACCTCTGCTGGTTTCTCTCAATTTCTAGCTAACCTTCTCTTAATATGCATTTTCTAAAAACTTTCAAAAGCATATTTGCAGTTTAGAGGGTGCTGCCTATGCTCCTGCCTGATTTGTATCTGATAAAGAATGGACACGTTTATGTGTGTTTCTGGTGTAGGCTCAGATTCAATTTCCTGTTCACAAATACACATTTGCTTGGCTTAGATCTTGATTTCCCTTTGCATAACACCTGCACAGCTCAGAAATTGGCTTCTGTTAGAATTCAAGAAAACCTCAAAGAATCTCTGTTCCTGGGAATATCTGAGAGAGAAGGGATGATAGATTGTGCCTGGTTGTCTCGTGTTGTTTTGATATCTGTAGCCTTTTGTGGACAGTGTTAATTTAAATATGTCTGGGGATATGAAACTCTTCTGTTTGTGGAAATTAATCCCTTACATGATCTAATACAAGAAGACCTGGAGAGTCTGTACAAAAGTGTGCAACTTCCACATAGGTCAAGAAAATATAGGACTTATTTTTCTGTGTCATGTCAAAAATCTTACTCAGGAAAATGAGCCACCCCAGAGGGGCTGCTCCTCTGGGTCATATGCACAAGCTTTGATTCCTATTCTCATTTTTAATCAAATAATTTTCCTGTCAATCTGTAGTAATCTGGTTTTTATCCGAGTTTCTTTCTTGTAAATCTGGTAATTGAGAAGCAAATTAAATATATGTTAATGTTTCAGTTACTGGGTTCATGGACCTTAAGGAAGGACTATTTTTGGACTAGCTAAATTAATAATTCTTGAATGACTTCTGTTGAAATGACAGTGCACTCTGGAACTGAGGTTTGTTTGCTGTGGATGACAGATGTGATGGAGGTAAAACAATGCTTTGGAGTCATTAAAATGAGCAGTGACAGTATGACAATCCTTCTCATCAGATTGGTGAGGCAGCCAATTGTTGTTTTAAGGGATGACGGTTTTTCTGTGACCATCCTGGTATGTCCAGCAAGAAATCCCACCTGGGTAAATCTGCTGACCTTCTGCCCAGAGGAGAAGGAGAGGCGAAGGTCTGTCAGAGCCACACTCACACTCACACTCACCCTCACCCTCACCCTCACACTCACACTCATGCTCACACCACAGTCTGAGCGAGTCTAACAATCCTCCTCATTCCCCACTCTCAGCAGGCAGCTCTGTCTCCTGCCAGGTGAGCTACATACTCTGGTAATTCTTTTCACATAGGTCAAGAAAATATAGGACTTATTTTTCTGTGTCATGTCAAAAATCTTACTCAGGAAAATGAGCCACCCCAGAGGGGCTGCTCCTCTGGGTCATATGCACAAGCTTTGATTCCTATTCTCATTTTTAATCAAATAATTTTCCTGTCAATCTGTAGTAATCTGGTTTTTATCCGAGTTTCTTTCTTGTAAATCTGGTAATTGAGAAGCAAATTAAATATATGTTAATGTTTCAGTTACTGGGTTCATGGACCTTAAGGAAGGACTATTTTTGGACTAGCTAAATTAATAATTCTTGAATGACTTCTGTTGAAATGACAGTGCACTCTGGAACTGAGGTTTGTTTGCTGTGGATGACAGATGTGATGGAGGTAAAACAATGCTTTGGAGTCATTAAAATGAGCAGTGACAGTATGACAATCCTTCTCATCAGATTGGTGAGGCAGCCAATTGTTGTTTTAAGGGATGACGGTTTTTCTGTGACCATCCTGGTATGTCCAGCAAGAAATCCCACCTGGGTAAATCTGCTGACCTTCTGCCCAGAGGAGAAGGAGAGGCGAAGGTCTGTCAGAGCCACACTCACACTCACACTCACCCTCACCCTCACACTCACGCTCATGCTCACACCACAGTCTGAGTGAGTCTAACAATCCTCCTCATTCCCCACTCTCAGCAGGCAGCTCTGTCTCCTGCCAGTGCAGAATCCCTGGCTTTTCTCATTGTCCATGATCACGTTGGTTGTCACCACAGAAGCTGTAGAGACACTTGAGAGCTGATGAGAACCGGTTGGAAATGGGGCAGATACAAAGCATGAAGCACTGAAATGTTCTGGTGCTGCTTGAGCCTTCTGACTCTCCTATAGCCACGTAATGCTTTACTTTCCCTGAAGTATTCCCAAAATTAATTCAAGTCCTTTAAATAAGTGGCATTGTCCAGTCTTGCCATGCATAAAGCCTTTTACTTCATGTACAAATATGTCAGTCCAAAATATAACGAGGGGTAAAATGTTTATACAGTGCCCAGTATAAACACAGCTGCTGAAATATTTGTGATTAAATTATTAAACCAATTTTTGGATTTTGTTTCATAGCAAATACAGATATCATCAGAAACAGAAAATTTTGGCTTTCCCTTAGTTGTTGACAGCATTAATCCCATGAAGTTTAACGTCCCAACCTACTCTGCTCTAGCTTTTTACAGCCTCTGCTCCCTTGGATCAGGTTTGTGAGGGCTGAGTGAGGAGCAGGGGTGTTCTGGTGTTTAGGGAATGTGCTCAAGCCCACAGGCAGAGTTTGGGGGTTGGCACAGAATATTCTCACCTCATCATCACTGTCACACAGATTTTGTGCTCTCTGGTTTAGAGCATTCCATTTATTGCAATCAGAAATCCCACAATACCTATGACTGGTATGATTTATTTACTTGGCAGATGTTGCAGGGGTGAAACAAACAGTCAAATGACAGAAAATTTGCTCTTGGCCACATGTCTTGTGGTGACAGTTGTCAAGTGCTTTTGAAGCCAGAGCCACTGTGGGGGTTAACTCTGGGTTAAGTGCAGCCTTTCTTCTCTGAAGTGAGCTGATAAGATGGGTGGGATCACCCTGCACACATAGTTTGGAACTGCAGACATTTCCCCCCCTGAATTCCTTGTCCAAGATAAAGAGGAAGATACCTCCCATCTGGATTAATTATTGATAAAGACAGATGTTGAAAATAGTGATGAAGTGCCAGTGTTGCAGACAGGCAAAGAATTTATTCCCTCCCTTGCGTCCCAAAGCAGATTCCAGGGATGATCAGGTGTACGCCCCCTGGGCAGGGGCTCTCTCTCAGCCTCAGTGACACATCTGCCTGCCTGTAGATCCAGCTTTTTTTCTTGTTTCCTCTGAGCCAATTTCCTCTTGCTCATGCCAAACTGAGGTGGCTCAGTGGGACAGAGAGAGGTGCAGGAGTCTCCCTGAGCCCCCCTCATCCCCAGCACCCCCTACTCCAATGCTGTTTGATTTTGGGGGAGCAGGAGGACAAGAGAATCCTCCAGAAATTATTTGCTCATTCCAGAGCAGAAGAGGAATAGTTTGGGCATCTGGGAGGTGTTTGTGATCATTGAAAAGATGTCTCCAGCCTCTCTGACCAGGAGCTTTGCTCCCTACAGTAAATAGAGTGCACCTTTCACACTGGCTCTGGTTTGGGGCTTCCCCTGGTTAGCTCAGCTCTTGGCCAAGCTGAAAGAATACAAGGTACATATAAGAATAATGTATTGAAGAGCTTTCTCTACTTCCCCTTTGCTTCCACATAAATCCTTAATATCAGAGAGGCCTGCTAGCACAGAGCTCCAGCTGAGCCCCCCTCATTAAGGAGACGTCCCTCTCCTTTGAGGAACCACTAGCAATAAATATGATGTTGTAAAAAGTACAATGTAGCTGTTTTTACAGCAGGTAAGATTTTTTTTTTCCTCCATGGTTTTCTCTAACAGGAGCAACAGTACCTGTGTGGCACACGAGCATGGTGCCCAGGTCACCATATTTACTGCCCTAGCTCTAATCTGCAGCAGAGAAACCCTGCTCAGCTGCCTGCGTGTGCTCATTCCTTTGTCCAGAGTGTTCTCTGGGGTAGCTGAATGCATTAGTATTTCCTCTGAAAATTAACGTTGTGGCAGATAAAGAAAGCATGCACATATACATAAATCTCTTGTTTTCTGTCTGGGCAAGAGGCTAAAAAAAGCAGGGTGTGTCTGGATAGATTTTGTTTAGTGTTCTGTATTTTTCTCCCTTTTTAGAATGCCTCATTCAAATGTCAGTTCATTCTTCTCTATTTCCTGCCCTTATCCAGCAGACTTGTAGACCAGGCTTAATTAACTTTAAGACCTTTTACGTCCATCCCTATAGTTACAGTCCTTTCCTGGAACACTTCCATTGTATTTTCTCCATATGTTGTGAGATGATGCAAATGATATTATTACTGTTCTTGTGAATTTACAATGAGTCTTCCAATAGTTTTAGTTACAGCTTAGCTCTCATCGGGAAAATTCAATCTTTAAATCAAAATAAAACTAGGGCAGCAAGTTTCCTCTTTAATGTGCAGATAAAGGAAAGCTGGAGAGCCTGAAAATACAGGCCCCAGACACAGGGAAGCATAAAAAGATGAGGAAAGCTGTTGTAAGTTGTGTGACTCTTCTGTGTGGATTTGTTTTTATGTGGGAGTGGTCATGATTTAACAGGGATTTATATTAAGCTGAGGTGGAACTTTTTTCCTCTTCAGAGGCTGTGTAAGTGGAACAGCTCATGCCACAGCTCATGTTCTAATCACAGCCACTGAAAAGACCTTCTGGAGTGAATAAACCTTTTTTCTTTAGCTGAAGAAGCTGCAGGTCAGTCCATATTTGGCAGGTGATACAGCCCATCACTTCACAGCAGGGAAATGAGAAAATACATTCCACAGAGAAATGTGTCCCTTTCTTCCTGTTTGGGACTGAAGTCATGTCCAAGTGCAACTTGGTAATTCAGAATCTGTTCTAATCCTAATCTTTTACTAAAGCTGCTGCTGGGTACAAAGCAAAGGCGTTTGTGAAATGGTGCTACAGGGGATGGGGCTCTGTGATAGTTCTGTCCCTGTGGCGTTCACATTTATGTCTTTGTAAAATGAACCCACTGCAGAAAGCATTCCAGCTCTCCTGCTTTCTGTCCTCCCTTCTCCATTTGTGTGCTGGGTAAGTGTCTGGAGTGCCCTGACCATCTGAATGATACTGAAATGTGCCATCATTGTTTATGCTTTAATGAGAGCCTAAACCCCTAAACTACCAGCACTGAGCAAACGGCTAATATACACAAATTCACTGTAGCTTTGGGTTCCTAGAAGAGGTGTTGAAAACTCTGATACATTATTATTAATACTGATTGCTTGGCCTAATCCTAACATAGAATCACAGAATTGTTAAAGTTGGAAGAGGCCTTTAAGCTCATCAAGTCATGAGTGAACTGATTCTCTTGCAGAGAGACCATTTATATCTGAATGATAACGAGAGCAAAAGCCAGAAAGAGAATGCAAATCCCTTCTGAATTCAGGTCTAGGGCTGGAGGCAGAGGCAGGGACTATCCCACAACAGAATGGAGAAGCCAGCTAAAGCCCTGTGCCAGGGGGTTCTGCTGATGGAGCTGAGCCCTTCACAGGAGCCATTCCCATCAATGGCAGGATTTCCTATCATTGGCAGGACAGCAGCACCAGCCCTCGGTCTCCTCAAGCCAAACACTGGAAGGCAGGCTTTGTGCTCCTGGAGGATTCCCAGGGCACAGATTCACAGCAGATAGCCTCGCTAAAGGAAGGGGAAAAGGAAGACTGCTGCTACGAGAGCATGCCTCAGAAACGTGGACAAAGGCAGGAGAAGGAATTTGGTGGAAGTGGAGTTTCCCTTCCCACTGTCATGCACAATGAGGCCGAGGGCCCTGCGTGCTGCGTGAGCCCCCCTTGTCCCTGCTGAGCTCTGCCGGGTGTCAGGGGCACCCTGCAGGGCTGGGAGGGATGGGATGCAGGGAAATGGACACAGGCAGAGGTGTCACGGCTGTCTGTGGCTTTGTAACAGAGGTGTGACACAAACAGGCCTCTGCTGCCTCAAGCTGTGGCAGAGGGTGCTGGGGAAAGTGGACAGGAACAAAAGGGGACAACTGGGACAATAAAAGTGGTCTCTTTGGGTTTCAAAAATGAGGAACTGAAAATATTTTTGCCTTTTTGTCTACCTCTAACTACAGTGGTGCTCTTGAAGTCCTTGCGTTTCAGGTAGCAATGTTGGGGCAGAAGAGCACTCTTCTCTCTGCTGCTCTTTGGGAAGGTACCTGTGCCATTTCCCTAGTTTGTGCAGGGAACCATGCTGGTCTTTCTCTAAAGTAGCTGTAATTTTTCACTATAACTTCTGTGGACTTTTGTGGCTAATACTTGATAAAGCTTTCAAATGCAGCTGCTAATTTATTGTAAGAGCTTTGCTCTCTGTCTCACGCCAAAATACTTGTCTGGAGAAAAGTCTTCCAGAGTGTCTGTTCAGCTCTTGACTCCCGGTCTATTCTTAGAGCACCAAGTGCTCTGAGAAGTGCAGGCAGTGCCATGGAGGGACAGGTTGCCTTGTGCCTTTCTCCTGTCTCTGCCAGCCCTGGAAATCCCAGGTTCCTGAGCTGCTCCAGGTCCTGCGAGTGTCCTCATTAGCACCTGGGAGGGCTGGGACCCACACCTCCCTGCCTGCCCAAGAGATCAGACCCCTGGCACCAACAACTTCCCTTTCAGGAGATGACAGAGCTTACTTAACATATTCAGCAAAAGCTTGCATTTAAAATACAGCCAGTTCCATTCTTATTGACAGATCTGAAATTCTGATGCAGATGAGTGAAAATCAAATTAAAGGGGCTAATTTGTATTCCTGCACAGAAGAACTGCAAACAATTTTTTATTGATTTTTCATATTCCAAGGCCAGGCTCACTGCAGAATTCAGGAGGTGCAGTGGTGAGTGGTTGGTGAGGAATTCATCCTGTGCAGGTCCCTGGGGGCAGCTCAGGTGGAGCCCTGGGGATGGCTGGAGCCCTAGGAAAGGGGCACAGCAAAGGGCACAGGGAGCTGTGGCACAGCCAGGGACGTGGCAGGAGCCCAGGGCTCAGCAGGGAGAGCCAGGCTCGGGCACGCTTGAACTGGGAGGGGATAAAAGCCCAGGGATTCCTTGGCTGGGA